AGCTCCGTATGGGGCTGCCCTTGAAGAGTGTTCAGATACTGCAGCCCGATTGCTCTGGAGTCTGGGGTCTGTCTTGTGGACACTATAATTCCAGTCTTGTGCCGGCCATACTGTTTCCTCGTTTGTTTTCGATCCCAATCCAAGGTAACAGTTCTTCGTGCCCGCAAAGCCCCAGCCAGGCGATGCCTGGATCCCCGCTTGACCCTGGGGGGAATTTGCTTCCCGGTGAATCTTCCACAGAGAGAGCCCTGCTGGATCTCGCAGCCGGGTAGGAAGAGAAGGCGGGGACTCTTGGTGTGCTTGTCTTGTCTGCAGTTGGGCCTTTTCCCCACCTCATCCCCAGCCAAACAGAAAACTTGTGTTTCAAAAACAAGCAGTGTGGGTACAGGGTGTGTGGGGAGGATGGAGAGCTTTGTGCCGAGGGATGGTTTAATTCTGCCTGGGTAGAAAATTCCAGCCACATGGTACCAGAGGCAAAGCATTAAACCACACCCAGGAATCACCTTAAGATGCACACATACCTAGCAAACTTCTCCCATGAATTTTTGGGACATTCATTTATAATTTTTCTCCACTGTGCCCAAGGTTCAGGTGCATGCACCAGACTCAGACTCAGACTCAGACACACACACGCACACACGCACACACGCACACACGCACGCACGCACGCACGCACGCACGCACACACACACAAGGGGTCAGAGTCCCCTAGGGCTGTGCTAGGCTGTAATGCTTCCTGCCTGAAGAATTTTCCAACTATCAACCTGAGGATCCTGTTCACAGGCTTAGGCTGTAAAAATTGAAAGCTGTCCTTTAGTACTGGACAGGCAGAATCCAAAGTTACAGCTAAAAGAGCCCAGAAAACCCACAACAACCATTGGCCGTGGAAGCCTTCAGGAATACACAGCTAAAATAATTTATCCTTGATGCCATCCATGTTGGAAGAAATGAAACCAACAAGGAAGCAAATAAATATATAATAAATCACAAGGTCAATAGTAAGTCCCAGTTGTGTAACAAGTACAAGCAAGTTGTTTCCATTGTATTTAAATGTATTTTATGTCCAGCTGCCTGGTTCCTGCAGTCCACTTCCCTTGGAATGTGCTTCTCCAGGAGCTCAGCTGATGTTTTCCTGGTCTCAGGCCTTCTAATTTGTAAACTTACCATTCAAATCAAACTCCCAGATTGCAAAACACACATCTGGTTTAGCTACTTTAACATCCTAGAGCCGCACAGAGTGGTCTTTTAGGCCAGATGGTCAGGGTAAAAAGCAAATAAATAAATAAATAAATAAATAAATAAATAAATAAATAAATAAATAAATAAATAACAAACAAACAAACATACATACATAAACAAACAAACAAACAAATAAACAAACAAATAAATCCTGCATTCACTTTTTGGCCTGTGCTGTATTACAGACTCTATTAAACCAGGTTCTCAGGGACAGAGTGTTCCAGCTTAGTGTAATTTGTTGTCAAGCTTCAGCAGCAGCATTTTGAACCCAGGAATTCCATGGCTTCATGAGGCTTAAGGGGTGAAAAACTATGGGCTTGAAATAGTTTTATTCAGCTCTTTTGGTATTTTGAAAGTGCTATTCTTGTTTTAAAGCTTTGTATCACCTGGGCAGGCTTTTCAGAAAAAAGCAGGTTCCTGGATGCTTTGAATAACTAATGTTTTGCATTTCATTCATTAAATTTAAAAAGTAAAAAATAAGAGAGTTGTAGTGACCTCTAGTGGGCAGTTTTTCTGTGCTTGGCTCTTATTGCTTCTGAGTTTTCCTAAAATTTTCAAAGAGGTCTGTCCTGCAGCATTGGGGGAAATCAGCCCAAGGGTTTGTGGTGGAAAGGAGACACTTCCACTGCTGCTCCACACCACCCCAGCAGCTGTTCTCTGAGGCAGTTGCCTCATTTGGCCCTAATGCTAGACCTGGGCCTGGTGCCTTTTGATGAATATGGCCCTCTGCAGGTGCCATGATATGCCCCACATCACAATACAGTCTCTGCACCAAGCAGCTTGCACTGTGAATGTCAACAGTCAGGACAACCCAGAGCAAAGCCATTTTTTCCTGAAGCTTGGCACAGCTATCTCTCTCTCTCTCTCTCTCTCTCTCTCTCTCTCTCTCTCACACACACACACACACACACACACACACACACACACACACACACACACACACACACACACAGAGGCTATGTTGGGACTCAAGTCTCCAAGGGAAAGTGCCACTTAGCAATTGTGTCTATTCCCCCAGAATGCCACTTCTTCAGCAGAGGGTCAAAGTGGTCCCTGGCCTTTGAAGAGAAGGCACAGGGGGAGTGGAATGGAGACATGGTCTTGAAACAGCAGCGGGAGAGCTTTCTTGTTGTACTAATGTCCCATCAAGTTGTGTCTGACTTGTGGCATATGATATGTTTAAAGAGTGGCTTTTTAGGTTCCCATAGCTGAGCAGAGATTTGAGCCGAAGTCTACAGTTTTAGTTCATCAGTCCGTTCATTATACCGTCCTTGCTCTCAAGCATTCCTAAATGTAAGTAGATGATCCCCCTTGTTATCTGTTCTTCCTGATGAGAAATATTGTGGCACTTGAAAGCTTACATGTTTTTGTTTTTCCAAAACTAGAAACAAGCAAGGGAGCAGGGAGCAAGGACACATCCCAAAGCTGGCACTAGAACAGCCCTACAAACAAAGAAAATTTGTTTTGGAAACAGCCAAGCATTCTTTGTCTCCTTTACCAAGTTCTTCACTGGATTTCTGGGTGACGCAGCAGAGTGGGGCTTGCTGGTGAGTTTCCCCTCAATCAAGACTGGTGGGCAAACCCGGTCTGCCTCACTTTCCATCCATTGGTTCTCACAGCAGTTTCCTTAATGTGCTTGGATGCACAGAAACCAAGGCAGCTGTGGAAGGGGCATGGGTGGAAAGACAGGATGGACAAGAAGGATGCCCCCCCACTCTCTGCCCAGCACCGAAAGGCTCAGCCCCCCCCCGACAAGGGGCAGAGATGCAGGGGCTCTGGACAATGTCCGGATAGCACAAGCCTGGGGAGGCCCTGACAGCCCCACCTTGTATGCCTGAGCATGCCAACGGAGGGCCATCTGCTCTGCACATCCAGAAGCACTCTTGTCCAGTCATCCACTGCCATGTTCATGTTTCTCATGACTCCACGCGTACCAGGCTCGGGCATATGGGACACAGCTTTACACCAAGTGACACAGCTTGGCCCTTCATCCAAGGCTGCCTCCCCAAAGGGGGTCTCTTCCCACACCAGTTGTTGAGCAGAGATGCCTCCGAGGCCAAATCAAGCACCTTCTTCTGCACATTGCCGTGGCTCCTTTCCTGGCAGGCCGCAGCTCTGGGTGCAGGGGGTAACGGCAAGCTTTTTTGGCCAACAATGGACTTCTCTTCCACAGCAGACCCAAGAAAGTGAGTGATGAGCAACTTGTGTGTTTTCCCACAGGCTGGAGGCAAACAGAGCATTTCTTTACATGCATGTGCATGCGTATGTGAACAGGTGCATGCACGCGTGCACATGCACTTTAACCCTACATCAAGATACTTTTTCCACATTTGCATGTGAAGTGATGACTCTCTTCTCCCTTCTCCATCTTTAAAATTTTATATCTTGTTCATATACTTAAAAATGAAAACTTGGGCAAACTCAGTCCCTCCTCACTGCCCCACCACCGCCCAAAAACTTGAATGTCTGGCTAAAGATTTCACTAGGAATGCTGGGAAAATGTAAATTGACAAAAATAGTTGAAAGGAAGGAGTTTGCTTTACTTTTCTAAAAGGCACCTTCTGACCAAAGCCAGTTGTGCTTTGGCAAAGGGACCTGCAAGGCAAGGCTGCCATGCAGGAGGGTAAGGAGCAACCAAGGATCTGCCCACTTGGCAGGACTGGTGAGTCCTGCACCCCAAAAACGAAACAGGAGGGATTTACACATGCCTCCCTGGCGTGGGGGCATGTGCGCATTGTTTGTTTGAAGAGGCGTTAGAGTAATAACTTGTATTTCTTCCTGAAGGGCCCAGCTTGCTTTTCCTTCCAGATGGGCCACAGTGCTTAGTGGGAGAAGGGGCTTTCAGAGGGCAGCAGGAACACAGAAACTATCCAGACAGCAGACCCACCGGGACAAAGGCAGGAGGGAGCCATCACCACTGAAACACCTCTTTCTCCATGTTCAGGTTCTCCTGAGTTTGGAGCCTGTACAATCCACAGGGGGAGTGAGCTTCTTTTTTCTGCCTGCTCACCCCACCCTCCATCTTCATTGAAATCTGAAATTAGTCCTGGAGAAGCACCTCCACTATCTCCCCTAAGCCCCAGACTCAGCTGCCCCTGCCCTGCTTAATCAGCAGATGGTAAGTGGTCATCAGGGGAGGAAGGGGAAGGGAGCAGAGGGTCGAGGGTAGGAATGGTCAAGGGCCAAAGGTCTTCTGCACACCATATATTTATAAATATATCTCCATTTACAAGATTCTAATATTGCACATTAGTCAGTCTGAAAGCGGCACTACAGAAAATGTGGGGAAAGTGCAGTTGGGTGGGGGGTTGAGGAAGGGTCCACAGAGATCCAAAGCAGGGTCCACTACAGAGAGACTGAAGGTTACAGTGACCTTGATGCCCCTCCATCGGTCACTGCATTGCTAGGCTACATCACCATGCCAACCGTTGCCAGGTGCAGCCGCCCTGTGCGTCAGCCAGGTTGCTAGGCTCCCTCATTTGCTACCATGTCAAGTTGGAGGAGGGAGGCTATCTGTCACCCTATCAGCTGCTACTAAGTGCCTGGTGGGGAGGGAGAGGTGGACTAGAGAAAGCTGTGGTGTGAAGGGGTTCTTCCTGTGTGGCCACCATGCCTCGTTCCCTGTACACCCTCCTGACAAAGCTGGGGTGGGAGGGGTGGTCTGAAGGAATGGCAGCCAAGGTTTCATGCTATGCCAAAGTCCATTGCTCCAAACCACTGAGCAGACCGCAGCAAGCAGAGCACCCCTGCTCTCCTTTCAAACAAAGCCATGCTCCTGGCTCTGAGGGGTGTGCAGGTGAGTCAGCCCATGGGCAGAAATGTTCCTAGGTGGCAGCTGAGCACAAAGGCTCCCGAACTGGTCCTTGTCCCAATCTAGTTCGGACTAGGAGCAAGCATTGGAAAGAATCATCCAGCCAGGCCAGGAGAGATGGGCAGGAGCGTTTGGTCCGGAGCTCAACAGTCACGAAACAGCGGCAAAGGGCCCCTGCCTGCCTGCCTGCCTGCCTGCCTGCCCTCCTTCCCTCCCTCCTGGCTCTCCTGCAAGGGAAGATGGGGGTTTCTGGGCCTTGGTGGTAAGCAGCGTGGAGGGCAAGCCAGTAACACCACATTGTGGGCCTGCCGAGGGGCTCCACACACACTCCTACAACCCAACGGTGGCTGCTCAGGAAGGCTGGGCGAGGAGTCCGGGCAGGCCTTTCCTCCTTGTCATGGGGACCATTCCATCATCAAGGGCTGTTGGGGGAGGACCAAGTATATCCAGGATAAAAGGTTAAAAGGCTCAGAAAGTGCTGTGTTGCAGGAGACAAGGGGTGTTGTGTTGGCGTGGGGAGGGGGACAATGGCTCTTGCGGTGGCTGCCGCAGCCGGCTCACTCCCCGCCCACACCTCCTCCAGGCCACCTGTTCCCCTTCCTGCCTGTCAGATGTCTGACTCCAGCAGGTACTGCTCAGTGTAGCCCTTGGCCAGCTCCAGGCCCAGGGCTTCCTGGCAGAAAGTGGCCATCGCCAGCCAGAGGGAGGGCTCCAGGAAGAGCTGGCACATGACGTGGCCCTGGAGCGGGGCCACCTGCAGGCGAAGGTGGCGGAGCAGCTGGCTCTTGATGTGGGCCAGGTCACGGCCAAAGACATCGATGTTCAGGTAGAACCAGCCTTGGCCCAGTGGGATGGGGAAGGGCGGGGTGCTGAGGGTGGCCACGGTGGGGCGCTCTTTCTTGTCCACCACCCAGCTGAGCGCCTTCTTTTGCAGCAGGCCCAGGTTGCTCTCCATGGCCTTGAAGGGCTGCCAGTCCTGGATGATGGTCTGGTTGGGCAGCACCTCCCGCCGGAAGCTCTCCTGCAGCACCACGGCCGGCACGTCGCTCTCAGAGAGCAGCTCCGAGGCCTCTGGACGGAAGCCCCCCTCCAGCAGTGCCTGCACGTTGGCCTCCAGCCGGGAGAGGAGCTCCTGAGCACTGAAACGCACCAGCAGGATGCCCTGTGGGGAGAGGGGAGGG